ATTAGAAAAGTGGTTGCCAATATCCCGGGTGCTTTCACAGTAACAGTATGTCTGGCACTGTCATCTTACAGCTGAGAAAACTGTGGCTCAGAGCGGAGAAGTTAACTTGCCTAAGATTACAGAGTGGATTAGTCACACACAGATATAGCTGTTTGTATATGTCTTCCCCATTAGAATATGAACTCCTTGAGGCAAGGACCCTGTTTTTGCTTTTCTTTGTATCTTTAACACTTAGCATAGTACTTAGGCACATCAAGCATTTAATAAATGTTTGCCGATTGACTGATTTACACAATCCAGTATACCTCAGGTCTTATGATTTCCTATTCAAGTACTATTTCCACTAGTTTGCCTAAAGCATTTTATTTACAAAATATTAATGAAATGCATAAAATATAATTTATTCCAGAGGGTGAGTTATTTACAGAATTAAGTAAAACAAAACTGTAATTAAAATGCTTAATTTGCACTGACATTATGTGTGGAGCTATATGAAGCAGAGAGGTTATCTCTGTATAAATAAGATAACAACATGGCTAATAGAATGTGAAATTCATAATTTCCCCCCCCCCCAAATTTTCTGGCTGCTAGAGGATGACCCCAAGTACATGGAGTGGACTTTTTGTGACTAATTTATGGGCAGACATGGACAAAAGAAACACAGAATGGAGAGGACACTGATGGGTGGTGCTATGTGCCACTGATGGAAATATTCTTGATCAGGGGGACAATAAATACATAGAAGAAATATCTTCAAGTCCTATGATTCTATGATAATAATCTATGTTATACGCAAGGATTGTCAAAGACTATACACAAAAACACATCTTCTTGCTATAGAAGCAGGCTACTATCTTCTACATTGTTCTAGATCTTTGTTGTTCTGCATATTGTTATTTATTATTAATTTCCAATAACATAACGATTTTTACTATTAATTATATGTGGTGCCTAGTTAACAAACAAACTGACATGGATGTCTTAATGCCCAATATATTGAATATAACACACAGCTGCTAGACCTTTATTATACTGGTGAAATTTATATATCACGAATGAATAAACATAGGATAAAAAAGCAGACAATTGTTCCCTATCTTTTTGGCTTTCAGGTACTGTGCAAAAGGATGGATCATAATACAAAAAGTGCCAAAAGTTCCACTGAGAAGTGGCCCAAGAGTATTTCTTTCCTTTTCTGTCATTTTTCAAGTCATAATTAAATTCTAAGTACTGTACAGAATTTATTTGAGCAAAAGATTTGTGATATGCTCCTTCAAAGAATGTCACGCTATTATTAAACAGGACTAATCTTTCTTATGAAATGTTATATTATATGATTTTAAAGATATGATATAATTTTACTATGTAGTTGTGTTTATCACATAATGTCTATGGAAAGACCACTATACTAGGAGCCTAGAAACCTGGGTTCTAGTCCTGGCTCTCACTTATTGTGACCCAGGGTGAGTCATTTAATTTTCAAATTTCTTCATTTCTCCTTTAATTGTCAAGATGTCTTCTTTTATTACATTCCCCCTCTGCACCTTTGATCACCCTCTTCTTGATACTTTCTTTTCTCTAGGTTTTTAAGACATGGAGCATTCCTGGTTCTCCTACTATCTGTGTGATTGCTCCTTCTCAGTCTACTCTGCTTAATCTTTTCTTTTTTTTGGAATAGTATTTTTTCCCCAGTTACATGTAAAGATAGTTTTCAACATTAATTTTTTATAAAAATTTGAGTTCCAATTTTTTTCTCTCTCCCTGCCTTCCATTCCCCCCTCCCCAAGATGGCAAGCAATTTGATGTAGGTTATACATGTGCAATCACGTAAACATATTTTCACATTAATCATGTTGTGAAAGAAGAAACAGAACAAAAGAGAAAAGCCACACAAAAACCACGAAAAAGTGAAAACAGTATGCTTTAATCTGAATTCAGATTCTATAGTTCTTTCTCTGGATGTGGATAACATTTTCCATCACGAGTCTTTTGGAATTGTCTTCAAGCACTGTATTGCTGAGAAGAACTAAGTCAATCATAATCAATCATGCACAGTGTTGCTGTTATCCTCTGCTTAATCTTAATCCAGGTCATGAACACTAAGTGTGGATAGCAGGATCCCCCAAAGCTCTGTCCTAAGCCTTCTTCTCTTTTCCCTCTACGCTATTTCACTTGGTGGTCTCATTAGCTTCCAATGAATTCATCTATCATTTCCATATGCAGATGACTCTCTCATCTATTTACTCAGTCTTTCCTTTATTCCTAACTTTTAGTTTTGAATCTCCAACTGCCTATTAGACATCTCCAATTAGATGTCTAGTGTACATTTTAAACTCAAGATGTTTAACACTGAACTCATTATCATTTCCCTCCCCTACATTCCTATTAATATTTAGGGTACCACCATCCTCCCAGTTACCCAGGCTTGCAACCTAGTTGTCATCCTCTACTCCTTACTTTTCCCTCCCCTCCCCTCCCCATACCTAATCTATTGCCGAATTCTGTTGATTTTACCTTAACAATATCTCTTGAATATGGCCCCTTCTCTCCTCTGACACTTCCAGCACTCTGGTGCAGGTCTTTATCACCTCTAGCCTGAACTACTGATAAGTCTTGTGGTTGGTCTCCCTGCCTCAATTCTTCCTCCACTCCTTCTTCCACTCAAGCTCTCAATGTGATCTTAAAGTACAGGTCTGACCATGTCACTACTTCTCCTCTTTTCATTAAACTCCAGAGGCTCCCTATTACCTCCCATAGCCAACATAAAATCTTCTGTTTGGCATTCACAGTTCCTCATAAACTGGCCCTCCCTACCCTTCAAGTCTTCTTACACCTTATTCCCTTTCTCCTGCTTCCACCCCCTTACTACTCCCATAATCTGTGATCCAATGATACTGGTATCTTTTTTTTTCCTCACACAAAACACTACATTTCCCATTTTCAATGATTGTCCCCAAGACTGGAATTCTCTCTACTCATCTCTCTTTGCTTCCTCAAGTCTCAGCTAAAATTCCATCTTCTAAAAGAAATCTTTCCAGATGACCCCCTTTAATGCTAGTGCCTTCTCTCTAAGATTATTTCCAATTTATCCATTATATATTTTTTCTGTATATTGTTGTTTGCATGTTGTCTCTCCAATTATACTGTGAGCTCCTTGAGGGCAATGACTGTTTTTCTCTTTCTTTGTACTCCAGAGTTTAACACAGTATTGGTATGTTGTATATGTTTAATAAATACTTGTGGACTTGCTTGACTACTTTAATATCATTGTATATAAAGTATATATTTATTATTTCTGTTTTTTAATACTTGTTTATGATTCCTTTCTGCCTGAGCACATAAGCATTGTTTGTAAAGGTGTCATGGGACTATGTGCTTAGCCACCTAGTTGGCAAAGTGGAGAGTTGCACTTGGAGTAAGGAAGATATGAGTTTGGATACTACCTTTGACATTTATCAGTGTGACCCTGGGCAAGTGACTTAAATTATTTCACCCTCAGATTCCTTATTTGTAAGATAAGATAATAATAGCACCTATCTCATATGGTTGTTGTGAGGATCCAATGAAGTAACATAAGTAAAATGTTTTTCAAACTTTTAATGTGTAAGTGATTGGTATTATTATTATAATTTTAAGATTAAAAAAAACCCCATTACATTGCTCTTTTCTTTGGTGATGTGGGTTATTATTTTTCATTTTGCTGTTCAACGATCCAGATCATGGTCTTTGCCTTCATGACATAATGTAAACTGAACAAACACATCATTAGATTTTACTATGTACTTAAAATTTCAGGTTGAAGTGAGGTACCCCTCTGGAGCAGAGATCAAGCAAGCAGACTGTTGATTCTGACATGCAGGCTATGAAGTCAATTAATTTTTGGTAATGGACTATGGTTGAAACCTTGAAACTTCTAAAAATATGTTATGAGCACGAGTGAAATATTAGGAATCTCTATTCATTAGATCCTATGTTCAAATTGTTACAGAAGCGCTCCAATAAATGTTTCTCTCAGGCTTGAACATTTACATTTCAATGGATGAAGTGTATAAGTCCTTCCAGTAGAACTTTGGGTTTCAACTTCTGATTTAATTGTATCCAGGAGCATTGCCGTAGCAATGTTAACATTTTCTTGTTTACCAGTTTATGTTTACCAGTTTGGAACTGTCAAAAAAAGTGAATCTTGGAAAGCCAAGATATAGAGCATTAGCCTGAAGAATAACTGAACTACAACTATATTTAAATGGAAGAATTTGACATGGTTTAAAGATGAATACGCATTGAAGTAAAGGTGACATAGATAAGCTGGGCAGGAATGGAATTAGAACTAAATTTAATATAAACTTTAAAAATTCAAGCTGTACATGATAGAAACACATAGTTTCATATACAATCATCTACTGTCTGTTCTTTTATAAGGAAAATATTCATGTCTACTGACGTTTACCAAGTTCATAATATTAAAAAGAAATATAAGAAAGAAAAGTAAAACTTGGTTTAACTGAAATCTATTACAGGAAAAGAATATTAAATTGGAATTTTCCTTAACCAATGTAACACAGTCTGTTTTTTTTCTGAGAGATAACATTCTCTTCACCTGGGTTTTACTAAATGGCTTGAGGAAAAATTTTCAAGAGGCATTATGATAAGCATCAACAACAATCATGGCTTCTTCTAGGAATTCAAGAGCTACAGCTTGAAAAACTATTAAATACATAAATTTTTAGCAAATTCATGAGATGACCGAGTTGGTCACATTTAAGTCTTAACTACATACTCTGAAGATTAGAAGCATTAAAGGCAAATAGATTAAGAACTCTAAATATGGTGCTGGGTCTTCTTACTGAAAGAGAATACATATTCTAACATAAAAAGAGAGAAATCTGATGCGCTTATACTTTTGTACATTTACTTAGCCATTGGGAATATACGTTTGAACATTTGCTGAATTTCCCCAAACCTAACCTTACTATTTCATAATAATGAAAGGGAATACTCACCAATCACTTTGACAAAATAGGCATCTGCTTCAAAGTTATTTTTTAGTGTGTGGATGGCAAAATCATTCTTTGTATAACCTTTACTTAGAACAATGATGTCTAAGATACCCTGGGGGAAAACATACACATCAAACCATAAAGTTAAAAAGGCACCAATCTAAATAACAAATGACCATGCCAATACACAAAACTCATGGGGATAAATGAAAATAATGATATTTAGAAATGTTTGAGAAGATCTGAGGCCCCAGGTATTTTATTGTTTAATTGAATTTTAACCCAAAGTGGTTTTTAGATAATTATTACATGGGACAAAGAAATGGACAGCGCTCAGTGAAACAACTTGTTTCCTCTCTGCTTAGATCAGTGGCAGGAGTTTCTGTCTGATTTCTATTCTTCATTCCCCAAAAGAAAAAAGTCCTCCCTCTGGTGTTATTTGATAAGGATCAAAGAATTGGCAGTAAGAGGAAAAGAAGGAGATGAAGGACCTGAATAAATCTACAAAGATAGTCAACACCTGGAAATTGGTGTTTGATCATCTTAATTGTTTTTGCTTTTAATGTGAAATTTATAATTTCAATTGTTAACAGAAACTGACATTTAGCTATTCCTTACTTCTTATATTCTAAGTACTCTGAGGGGAGTAATTAGGATGCTTTTATATTATATTAAATTCAGGAGACTTCAAAATGTTTTGAAGACTACCTTTATTTCTGTTCCACAACCTTTGATGTGGGTCAGGGAGCTGCATTTCCACTTTACAAATGGCAGAACAGAGGCATCTTGAGCTCTGTACAAATTCATCTGACAATCAGGGCTGGAGTCAGAATAACAGTTTGAGGTTATGAACTTACTTTTCATAATCACACAGCTTATACAGACTAAGTTCTTTTCTCTGCAGTCCTGTAAATAGGTTGAAGGATTTTCTGTAGCTGAATTGCTACTGTCTCTTGATGAAAACCCCAAACAGCTGATATACCTGTGTATGAATATAAATCTCCAGTAGCCTGGGCACCTGGGCCTTTTAAAACAAAATAAACAGAAATCTAGTCCAGATACTTGTCACTTTTCCTGTATCAATCAGTGAAAGGCATCAGTGAATTTGTTCCCTTACTATTCAATATTAAGGACTTCCTTTAATTCGCTCATTTGCTTTCATTAGCTAATCTACATTTTCTGGTCAAATGCTGAGGAGGTGCTCAAAGTGGAAGCTCAAATGAGAATAAGCAGATGGCAATTAAAAACCAAACACACTGAAAAGCTCTGAACTCACATCTTCATAAATGTCAAAGAAGGTTGCAATCACAGCGTCTTTGATTTGACTAAGATCCGATAGCTCCCAGTAGACTTTAAACATACGACCAGCCTTCTCACAGCTTGCATTATTGCAGGGGGCGTTTTCTAGTAAAAAGGCTTGCTGGTTGCTATGTTAAAGGAAAAAAGAAAGGCATTTAGTTATTCTCCCTTATAAAAACCTAAACAATGCTCCTGCCATCACTGTGGCAGGCTAACATGTTTATTTATGTTTACGGAACTAAAAAGTGATTTTAAAGAGGCTGTGTGGAAAATATGAAACCCACATCCTATATCATCCATAGCTAACATTGACTGCTATCTCCAAAGGGCTGGCCTTTGGCACTGAAGATGGTCTCTCATCTCTTTTTCCATTCCCCTCACTCTTCTGGCATGCCTGTCACCCACTAGGTATCACTCTGTCATTTTTATCACTGTTATAAATATACAGGGATTCTTTAAAAGAAAAAGTTCTATGTATTGAATATCAGAAGAGCACTTTAGTCATGCATTCATGTGCATGCAGGAACGTACACATGTTCACACAAACACATACAGAGAAATAATGCTTACCTGTAATTCTTCGAAGTAACCTTTCCTAAGACATGAGATGTTATAACTTCAACTAACGGGTGGAAACATTTAACTTCAACTCCTAAGAGCAACCTTATCTTTTTGTTCTAATTTTTAATGCTCCCGCTACTAAAATCTGTATTTTCTCTATCACTTTAGCTTTTAACCAATTTTATTACTCTTTTTTTTTTGGTAGTGATGAGATGCTCTTTTTGTCATTAAGAGATTATATAAAAAAATGAGAATTTCTGAAAAGCTGCATCCTCAAAATTTTTGAGTGGATGTACCATGTCTGCTGCTTTTTAGCATCTGCCACTGGCTTTGTATCAAAATCATGATGCAGAATAAGAATGTGGAACAAACACCTTTGTTTCAGAAACTCAAATATAACAACTCACAGTAACTTTTCTCCTATCAGAGTTGTACAACTGAAAAGTATTTGTAGCTTTCATTCAGGTCTTTAAAGTCTGTTTGACATATGCCTGTAAATATAAAAGACTTAGCAAGTATATGTCACCTGCTCCTGCATTAGAGATCACTAAATTTCCCCAAATTATTAAGTCTCATACAACTGGACTTGAGCTTCTGTAGAAATAATAACTCTTTAAAAAATTCTACTAGATTATATAGAAACAGTGTAGCTGCCAAAAAATATTTATATCTAGGTAGGAGAGAAAAACTCTGCTCCATTTGTACTTGGTGCCTCCTTGCCTTTCTTTAGTTTTAGTATTTCCTATGGTCATTATTTCTTGATTTGTAGATTTGATATGGAAGACTATTGTCTATTCCTATATTACAGTATTGCCAGAAATCAAAGCTATTGCCTTATTTCACCTGAGTTTTTTGCAAATTTTTAATCCAGAGCATTTTCTAAAAGTAATTATCTTTCAATGCTTCAACACATGCAAAACACAAATAAAATGCCATCTCATTGGATAGCCCAGTATGTAGTCATCCATTGTGTCTTATTGTCTTAAGGATGCCTATCCTACTCCTTTGAGGCTGGATTTAATTTTCTTTAAAGGCCATAAAAATCTTTGTTGTTTCTCAATACGTTACTAGTTGGGCAAGTCTGTGTTATTCTAGGTTGTTAATGTGTTATGTTAATCTGTCTAATTTCCCATCAAGTGAGGTAGCTGGTGGATCATTTAACTTGGAGCTGATTTTCTCCAAGACTGCTCTTAAGAGCTTGTGTGTCCAGTACATAGTAATTTCTATCTCTACTGGATTCTTATCCTCTCAGATGTCCTGGAAGACTCTATTGCCAATTCCACAATTTCATTAACAGCCTAGCCTAAACAGAAGACTCATGGGCTTTAATTTATGTACATTAAGTCTGTCTCTTTGTCTAATCCTCAAGAGAATTGCTTCTATGAGCAAAAAGAATAGCAAATTAAAAAGAAGCATGAACAAGGCCATTAGAAATACTTAAAAAATGAAATCATTTTTGGGATTGCTGCTCTGAAGCCAATGTTGTCTGCTGATGCTAACCCTGCATGCCTAGTCTCTTCTGATGAATAAAAACTGAAACCTTTCCCAATATGCAACTTCCATTTGTGAAACTCCCCAAATCAGTCAAGTGTCACTGCAATACAGATGACTAAATGTGAAGTGTCGATATAAAACAAGAAACCTGATATTCATAATCAAGTTAATTAAAATGTTGAATAACAGTAATGCTGCTATCCTCAAAAGAATGTTTATTACAATGTAGTACATATAGTAGGTGCTCAGTGAGTGTTTTTTTTTTAATGAAAACAATAAAAGAAGAATAAAAGGAGGAAAAGAGATGCTGTTGTTTGTTTCATCTTCAGAGGAGCGCATGTAAGGCAAAGCTTTAAAAAGTCTGTTGAGATACTAAACATTTCTTGCCAACAGGATATTAGCAAATGTCTAGAGAAATCTTAATTCATTCCTAGTCAAGGGAGCATTTAAACTAAATAATTTTGCTAATGATGACCCAATCTTACCTCTAAAGTTTACAAGATGAAGCACGCACATTCATTGTATTTTGTAAGGTATATAAGTAATTCAGATCTTAAGGAAATTTTTATGCTATGGTCTGCAAAAGAAACTTCTGCTAATTACAGAGAGATATAAGAAAGATCAGAAGCCCATCCTTTTGTAATATCCAAGGAGAAAAGACAACTAACTAAATTCGTGTTCAATTTTACTTTCTTTATGAAGGTCTGACAATATGATGAGTTAAGGTAATTATGTACCAATGGGGGAAAAAGCATCTTAGTAAGAATAAATTAGGAATATTCATCTAATCACCTATTAAAATCTTTACTAAGAAGGGAACAAAATCTTTGGTTGAAAAGAAATGCTGATGAAATACTTTTAGTCATTTCATCACACTGAGAAGTTCGTCTTCCTTAAGGTTATTTTCTGCTTGCCAGAGCTCACCAGACCAGGAACAGCCATCTTTAAGAGCTAAGATAGCATGCTGAGCCATTTTCTACTATCAACTGAATAGAAGACAGATTTCTCCCTACTTTGATTAATAGGGTTTTTACAACTGCCTGAAAGCAGTTTTGTTTTTATGATAATGGAAATCAGTGGAAAACACTACTACAAATCTGGTGAAGGCTGAGTTAGGTCACTCAAACTAACAAATAAGTGAGTTAATGTTTACAGAAACAACATATAATGGCAAAACCTCTAAGTTCAATTTATGCTATGGTTCTATTTCAAAATAAGTCTGTTTAAATACAAAAATTAATAATGCAACTAGGAAAAACCTAGGTACATTATGATATAAAAAGAAGAGTTTGAATTCGGGCTACCTAGGACTCTTCACTATTTAGAATGTTATTTTAAGAAATAAGATTGTGAATGCAGAGTAAGAATTAATGTTTTACTGGTACCATGTTATTTTAAAATGTTCCTCAGATTCATCCTCTTGAACCAATATAAGGAGATAATTCAGTTCTTTTCAGTTGAATTAAAAACAAACAAACAAATATTTACTAGCACCTATGAGATGCATGTCTCCAGGTAAGGGCAGTGGAAGTTACAAAGATGAATAAACATAATCCCAGACCTCAAGGAGATTTAAATGGGTAGAAAGGCTCTTAAGTATAAAAATAAATGAGAGATATACACCATATTATAATGGAGATACTACTTCTAGGTGATCAAATAGGACGAAACCAAAGTGATGAAACCTTGGCATATGGGATCATGACCAGAAGCTTATAAAGGAAAGGCTGCCATATTATAAATCACAAGTTTAATTTGGCCTGTTCAACCAGCAATTTAATGTTATTTCAGTGGCTCCCTTTGCATTCATATTCATGAATTCTCTAAATGGATTCTACTCTATCAATCTACCCCGTCTAGTTTAGGCCGCCTGCCCTTTACTAGAGGAATCTAAGTGAAGGTGTTACCTCTTCCCTGGGATTCTTACCAGCCTTTCTGTATTAAGTCTCCTTATCTCTTATTTGTGTATCATGGCAGCCATCAATTTTGAAGGAACATTTATACCTGGCTAAAAACACTAGGCATTTTTATTCTATTATGTTGGTGTGGCTGCTTTGTGTTTAAAACAATTGTTGGTTTTGGTTTCTTTGGGGATATTTGTAGTATTATACTGGATCTAATTATTTTTAGATTTTCTAGGATGTTTTTACATCAGAATATTCTATTGAGTTCATTCAACTGGTTGTCATTGTTACTATACCTGTTTGGTGACATTTTTTTGTTTATTAAAGGTGATTAAGTTGCAAAGTGTTTTACAAAAATGTGTGCTACACTTCACATGGTGAAGGGTACCAAGCAGATGGGAAAATACACAATTTTAAACCTAGTTTACTCATGTGGGAATGGAATGTCACCTCTGCCATAATGTTTATTTTGAAAACTTGAACTTGTTCCAGCATAATTGATATATTAGGCAGTATAATGTGAATTCTGTGTTTGTTCATCAGTGATATTGTCTCTGAGAAACATGAGATGAAGGCAGAAAAAAGCACCAATAAAACCAGGCTGTATAGGAATATACAAAACCTGTACACACACAACCAGGCACCCATGAACACACCTCAAACTTCTACCAATTACTGCGGTTCTCCAATGAGTTGTCCTACAAGGGTGTGTTTTTCTATTCTTTTGCATTTGTGAATTTTTCTACATTAAAAAAATCATTCATTCAATATCCCATATGTGTCTAAGGGTTCTGGTTCAAAAATCCTAAGAAGTACATGCACAAGGAAAGTTTTAAACACTGAGAAGCTTAAAATAATGAAGCATTTTGAAAGATGTAAGAGAAAGTGATATCTCCCAAGAAACAGGCACAAAGGAAACCACACTGTGGTCTGTTAAAGACAACAATGAAAAAAATAAAAGAAATGCCTTTGGCTGGAATGTTTTACTGGTACCACATTATTTTAATTTGTCCTTAAATTTACCCACTTGCACCAACAAAGGGAGACAATTCAGATCTCTTCAGCTGAAGTATAAAGACAAGACAAGACAAACAAAACAAACATTTACTAAACACCCATTGACGCATGTCCCCTACTAGGGGCTGTGGAAGTTATGAAGATGAATAAAC